AGTCCAGCGCTCAACCGCTGCCCCACCAGGGGAGGCCCTAGACATCAGTTTCTAAACCTGAGGTTCTAGCTCAGTAACTGATGAAATTTTTTTAAAAATTACGTCCTTTAATAGAAACATATACATTACCTATTGCCTCTGACATTCACTTCCTATCATACTCCAAAATGCCTAGGTTTTCTTCCTAATGCTTAGTACTGTCTGAAGTTATTTTATGTTTTTATTTATAGACTGTCTGCCCTCCTCCTTTCATTGCTGTGTATCTAACTTAGCACAGTGAATATCTGTAGGCACTTAATAAGTACTAGAGGGCCTCCCTGATGGCTCAAGGGGTTCAGGCACAACCTGTGAAGCTATCCGCAGCCACTGCAGCATGAGTTCGATCCCCTGCCAGGGAGATGCCCACATGGTGCAGCAGACCTCCCCTGGCTTGCCCGCTGCTCCCCTCGGCAGTGTACTTCGGTCAATCTGCCTGTTCTGTTCCCCACTCTGTCTCTGGTGAATCCTCTCACATACACACCCCTCACACACACACACCTCTGGCCTGTACCCCAGTTCTTGTATGCACAAATAAATCTTAAAAAAAAAAAAAAGTATTAGAAGGAAGGGGTTTTGCCACCAGCAGCAGTAATTGTTCAGTTACATTATGTATTTTTGTGTTTCACTTTTGATCTCTGAGAAAACTGAAACTACCCAAACCAATCTTTTCTTGCTTCAACTTAGGTCCTAAATATTGAGTGAATGCTTTTCTGAGTTTCTTTCCTTTCTTTTCCATCATCCTAGCTTGCCAGCAAAGCACGGACAGAGAAGGAGGAGAAGCTGAGCCAGGCCTATGCAATCAGTGCTGGTGTCTCCCTAGAGGGCCAGCAGCTCTTCCAGACCATTCACAAGACGTGAGTTGGGGGAGTATGGGGGCCCCTTTTCCTGGAAGTGATGTTGCCAGACTGTGCAGTCTAGAGGCCAACTTTTGGAGAGTTGTGTTCCTGAAAGTCTACCAGGGAAACTTGGTAGTACATTGGCAGTACTTCGGCATTCAGGGATGCAAGTGCCTTTCCATAAAGTTGAATGGCATAAGCACAGCCATATTGCCTTCTTCAAACCTCATCTGTAAAAGTTAGTTTGGGATTACCCTCTGAGTCCCTTCCAGAAGTAGTTTTCCATAATTTAGAATGAGTGATTTATTTTTCTTCCTATTTTTGTACCTTCTCTAAAAGCTAATGCAGTCTATTAAGCAAAGGTTATACCTGTCTTACTCTTGCCAGTTGTACTGTACATTGGGGTGAACGTAGGGAGTTAGGGAGAGCAGAAGGCCTCCTTACTACCACCTCCTAAAAGACATTTTGTCACAGCAGAAGTCATTTGACTCTGCACTAGCTTCCCTAGCTGCTAAAAAACGGAAACATTTGACACCCCCTTCTCCCCCCTGCTGCCTTCTGTTACCCTATTTAACCACCTGGGTCTGGTGCACAGATGGCAGCTGGCATCAGAGCTGTTTGAGGCCATGATGTGAGTATCTGAACACTTACAGGTATGTGAAGGAACTCTCAGCAACATCAGCTGCCCTGGGTTTCCCCAGGTGTGACCTGGAGTGGGTTTTCCCAGTTTGGCAGGTGCCCAGCTTACTGACTGATAATCGAGAGGGGCCAGTTTGAGGAGCTACTTCCATTTCCCAGTGGGGCAGGGGCAGAGTACATGTCTTTCTAAAGGTACCATTTCCCTCTAGGCCAAAGGTGGGCGAACTATAGCCAGTAGGTCAGATCTGTTCATATATGTATCATCTGCAGCTGTCTTTTTTATTTTATTTTGGAATTTCTAATAAGGTAACAGGTGATGTTGGGTTACAGTACTGTGTGTGATTCGGGTTCATACCTTTTGAGGTGTGTGTTAACACATCATACCACCTACCAAGGCACCTGTCGTCTTCCACCAGATCCTACTGCTGCCTTTGTGGTGCGGCTGTAGAGTTCAGTAATTGGGATAGAGACTGCGTGGCCCGCGAAGCCTAAAATATTTGCAGCCTGACCCTTTGTAGAAAAAGTTTGCCACCCCCTCCCTAGGTTACTTCTTTAATTGAATATAGTAGCCCAACCTTAGTATTTATATTTAATTCAGTTTGGTTTGGACTTAACGAGGCTGCCACCACATTTTCTTATAATTTTTAATGCTTTAAGGTCCTTTAATGCTTCGGAATAAATCTTTTGGGCCCTCAGAATAAATATTCATTGCTTTTCTTAGCTAGTGGTACCCAGGAAATGTCTCTTTGATTTCTCTCTCTGGTCTACTAGCTTCTAATTGTCTGAGTGGTGAGCTGGGAACTTGGGATCAACTTTATGGAGTTACCTCTTCATTAGGCAAGAGATATGGGATGCCTGCGAAAGGTAACTTCACCTACTTCCTTCTCCTTCCAGCATTAAGGACTGTAAATGGCAAGAAAAAAACATCGTAGTCATGGAAGAAGTTGTTATTACACCCCCATATCAAGTGGAAAACTGTAAAGGCAAAGAGGGGAGTGCACTGAGCCATGTACGCAAAATAGTAAGTAACAGAGCCATGAGACTTGAGGGAGAGGATGATTCGTCAGTCCTATACCTCCAGGGCCAGGGCAGGAGTTGGTGCTGCAATCCCCGCCTCTGTCACTGTCAGTTTTCGAGCAACCCTGCCTTCCTGCACTCTTCACCTACGGCTTGGGCACTCCTGTGGGGATGGAACCAGCAGGCAATGTGGGGATAAAAGGAGTGGTCAGCCTCTTATCCTCTTTGGCTTTTTGGAATTAGCCAGACCATTCCATGATACTGGGCCTGAGCAATTCCAGGTTGGGTTCTTTTCAGGAAGGGCCAGTTGGTATAAATCAGTTGCCATTGGTGTGTCTGACTTCGAACGTCATTTGACTTTCTAGATGGAACTGCAACATTTGTAAAAACGCTGAGCATTGAAAGACCAACATGGTTGTGAAAAGTTTGAGACTGTAATTCCCAACCAACTTTTCATTCTATACTCGTGAAGGGGTGTGTGTGTGTGTGTGTGTGTGTGTGTGTATTTGGGTTATAATCTCCCTTCATTTTTTAATTTTACAGATTCACCTTCTTTTAGCCATTCTTATCTCAAGCTGTGGAAAATTAGTCTGAAACAAGAGGTCCCCATCTTCTGTATGGCTGGAAAGACCAATAGACAGCAAGGGCAAAGTAGGCCATGGATTGGATAGCCAGGATGTGCCTGTTTAAACCTGGAGTGTACTGTTTGGGAGACCTACCTTGTCCATCTCCACTTCTAACCTTGACTGCCTTGTCTCTTTCAGGTTGAAAAACATTTTAGAGACGTGGAAAGCCAAAAGATACTGCAGCGTTCACAAGCCCAGCAACCACAGAAGGAGGCTGCCCTGTCATCCTGAGTCCACACACATGGAGGATTCTTCCAGCATCCAGCCCAGGAGGCGATGGTGGTGGCTTCAGCGGAGGCAGGCCGGGGGAGGGAAGGGATCCTATATTCATGTTGGCTCTTGTGAAAGGGTCAGCATATCCAAATCTTAGACTTGAACAAACAAAACACCCAACAAAAAGAACAAGAGAATAATTTAAAAGTTGAATCATTACTTGACTAACAGACTTCGTTCCACCATGTCCTTTTCACAGCCCCCTTCTGGAAACAGTCACCTTGTTAATTTTATTTTTGAAAATTTCTGCTCTGCCCTTTCACCTCTCACTTTTTCCTAGTCTACTATCCCTGCCATTCTGTTTTTATAAGTGGCTACACTTGCCTTCTGAGTGATTGAAAGAAACTTTCACATCTTCTCTTCCAAAATAAAAGTAACAAGCTGACTGTGATACTTAAAATGAGACTAGAGCAGCAGAGAGGTCTCACTTTAAATGTTTCTTTTTTTTCCTTTTTCTTTTTTTTTTCTTTTTTTGCACAGGGCATGGCTTGAATTAGTTTTATTTTTCTTAACTTTAAATATATATATGAAAATATATATTAAAATGTTCTCTAAATATTTTCTGCTTCTTGCAGGTCTCTTTTTACTAGATCATGGCCACTCTTCCCACTTCATCCCTCTGAAAATAAAAATGTATTGCCCTCCTCACCACCCATAGCCAGACAACGAACTTGACTTGTTAGTTCACATCAAGAATCTCCCACAGCACTCTGGAGAGCCAGTGTATGCAGGTGGGATTCAGCTCGGAGGGTTCCTGATGGCATTTTAGTCTTAAACTGTGTGTGTGTGCCAGTGTCATTTGGCCAGAACCTCAGGATTCTCCCTCTGCCTTTTGTCTTACTTCATGGTACTAGAAGAACCTCCTCACTATTGTTTCCTAGATGGGCTCCTCAGCTGCCCTTTGTCTTGTGCCCTCTGCAGGAAGAACCATTTTGCATGGCACATCTCAACTCCTCAAGGGATGATTTTGTTTCTTAAGAAACTTGGAGTCCACCTATCCCAATCTTTCTAAGTTTGTATGCAGAGTCACTAAGCCAGGAGAAAGCTTGGGTGACCTGTAGTTTCTCTTCTGCCAACCTCCTCTTCTGCCCCTCCTCACCCCCCTAAATTTTACAAGCTTGTGACAGTTTGTATATGCTCAGCCAATGGGCAGAAAACCTGGAAAGAATTTCTGGACTTTAGCCCACCAGTTTGTCTGGTTTGAAAAACCTGCTGAGAGCTGAAACTGGCACCCATTGTCCCTGTGTCTCCAGGGCCGTCCCATGGGGCAGAATGCCTCAGCTGAGTATCCAGCACTGGTGGGATATGGTGATGCTCATGTGACTGGCTAGAGCTTAGGGGTGGGGTGGGGGTTAACTTTTTTTTGGCCATGATCTCTTTCCCCTTCCTTTTTTTTTTAATTAAATAAATGGATCAAAATTAAATAATTCAAGCCCTGCCTTCAAATTGATTTTTTTTTTTTTTTTTTTTTTTTAGTATTGTTTAGCAAAAACAATAAAACCCAAATTTTTTTAACCATCATTCATGTCTTGGGTTTGTGCGTGCTTTAGAGACCTTGGAGGGAGGGGTGTGAGGTGTGTGTTTTTGGTTTGATCTTTTTCTTTAGGTTCTCTGCTTTCTACTCTCTTTCATCCTCTCTCTTTCCACCCTCCCAGCCCACCCTCACCCCCCAGAACTCAGATTTGCCGAGTGTCATTTAAGAAGAGAGACCCAGGTTTGGGAGTTCTGATTAAGTGGAGTCAGGTACTGAAGGGAGTGGTGGGTACATCCATAAGATGATTTGTTACAGGACTGGAAGGAGAATGAAAACACTTGAGAAATATTCTTATCTACCTGCCATTGACCAGAACTTCACTGAAAGTCCCAAACCTTTGATGTAATAGTTTGCATGGAAATGTAGACTTTTTGGAGATGTTAAAGCGGGAGAGACTTTTGCAAGATGGAGAAAACTTAAGCTGTGCTTTGAAAGGAGTGAGAGCAATTAGTGGGAAACTGCAAATAGCAAACCCTGGAGGGAAGCGCTGTTTCAGGTCCCAGGTGATCACGTCCCTCCCCATTAATCTCTCGTTTGTGAATAGGACAAAGTGGCTACCAGCTGTTTTGGGTAGGAAGCAATTTTGACTCTTTAGTTTTAGTTATGAAATGGGAGGACTTTGAAAGGTTCAAAAGGTGAAGTTCATATGGTAGAAAAGACAGGTGGGAAAGTGAGGTATAGAACAAAAATGGGGGCTTTGGACACCTAGATAGTTGGGTTCAATCTCCGTTTTCTCTCTTTGTGACAGTGATTAAGTCATATCATGTGTTCACGCCTTAGTTTTTCCATACGTAGATGTGGACCTAATGCCCATCTCTCATATATATATATAAATTTATTAATGCGTACAAGAGCTGGGGTGCAGGCCAGAGGTGCGGGGGTGGGGTGAGAGGATTCGCCAGACAGAGTGAGGAGCAGAACAGGCAGACTGACATATACACTGCTGAGAGGAGCAGTGGGTGAGACAGGAGAGGTCTGCTGTGCCATGTAGGTCACCTCCCTGGCTGGGCATGGAACTCATGCTGCAGCGGCTGTGGATAGTTTCACAGTGCTGCGTCTCAACCCTTTGTGCCACCAGGGAGGCCCCTGAATAGATATTTTAAATGCTGAATATTTAATGAAGGTGCTTTGTAGATGTTAATACAAATATTAACTTGGTCCTGGGATGGTTGAAACTGGAATGGAGACTGGATTGATAATTTCCAACTTTGTTGTAGAAGGCTGTTTCGATATGATTTTGAGTGAGGCTACTATGTAAAATATTTGAGCAGGGATCAAAGGGGTCTCAGAGCCCTGCCTTCTCAGTCTCTTACAGATCTCACCCTTACCTCTTCCCTGGAGTCCCTGAGAAGTTTTTTTGATTATAATTTGAAAAACACTCATTTCACAGGAGAGTGAGTTCCACCTGAGCAAGGTCACTTGTTGAGAATACCACTCTTGGTGCCGAGCTGGAATAAAACCCCAGCTCTGTCCACTTTGGACTCCTAACACTGTTCTGTGAATTTCCAGACTGGTGGCATGTGTACTGTTCACTTTTGTTGGCCAGATTTAGGAAGGAACATGGAGGAAATTGGTGAGAGTGGTAGAAATTTCCTCCTAGGTTTAAAGAAGGCAACTGTTGAAGAGTGTCGTACAGAGCATGTGCATTTGTGATGATACATGTACAGGCATTTTTATTTAATGTCTCCTTGGTTTTGAGGCCTCCTTTCCAGATGCACACTGTGTATTGCACATGCTGTCCATGCCACTTACATGTCTTTGGGCTTACTGCAATTTAAGGCATCCAGTGTTTGTTGATGCTGAATCTACCATTTAAATATGAGCAACTCGTTGCTCTCTGGGGTTTACGAACTGTGAAACCTACTTAAGTACTTCATTATTAGTACAGGACTTCTAGCTTGGGAACCGCTGATTCAGGGTAAAGACTCCATTATGCTTTTTTTTTTTTTAAGATTTATTTTTATTTATTTATGCATACAAAAACTGGGTGCAGTCCAGAGGTGCAGGGGGTGAGAGGACCCACCATAGAGTGGGGAACAGAACAGGTGGATCTACTGAAATACTCTGCTGAGGGGAGCAGCAGGTGAAACAGGAGAGGTCTGCTGCGCCATGTGGGTTAGTTCCCTGGCTGGGGATCGAACCCAGTCCATCTTTTGAGGTGGGCCTTTGCAGTGGTAGCACTGAGACTAACTCCTAGGCCACCAGGGAGGTCCTGTATAAGTTTTGCTGTAGTGGTGTAATGCGGAATTTTGAAGCACTAGCATGAGAATGATTTGTGATTATTTTTGTGATTATTCCCTAGTATCTAATTGTTGAGACATGGTTTTGATAATTCATTCAGGTTAAATAACTGGAAGAGTTGGCCGAGCCAAGATGAAAAGTGACCCAGCACTGCCTGGGTTTTGAGAATGCTTGAAATGAAATTGGAAGGAGGCAAGGGCCCAGTGAAGAATCCGGGAAGAGATGGGAAGGTGGGTGTGCCTGGTTTCAGGGGGTGAGGCAGTGAGGTTCTCTCCACTCTCCCCCTCACAGGTTTCCCCAGCACACTTGGGCCAGTGGTGCCAAGGCTGTCACATTGTGGCCTCTCTCCCATTTTCCTTCAATTTGCAATTTTGTTGAAAAGTCTAACATGGAATTAAATTTCTTCCTGAACTGGCAAGGTGAGGTGAAGGTAGAGCATGTTTCTAGTGACCATGCCACTGGCCTCCCCCCAGCTATTCCTTTGATACTGGCTCCAGCAGTTAGTCTTTGGAGGAGAGCTAACAAGTGGTCACTGCTTTTTCTTATCTAGCTTATTTTTCTTATCTATCTTATTCTGGTCTGTCTCCAAACTTTAAGTAGTTGCTTACGTTTACTACGGGAAAGCACATGTAGCACTCCAGAAATGTTCTGGGATGGCTCCTGAGGCTGACTTAAGTTGAAATCTGAAGAACAAGGTGCCAGCTGAGTGTTGGATAAACCTAGGTGCTCAAGTTGAGCTTGACCAAAGGTAAGGGTGTTCAGGAGCAGCTGACAGACAGATGATTGATTGAAGCTGCATGAGCATGATAGGGAAGCAGGCAGGAGCCAGGTCCTACAGAAGGTTGCAGTCATTGCAGGGAACCATTGGAGGATTTTAAGTTATCAAGCAATTTAGTCTAAGGTAGCAACAGTGGAAGCAGAAAGATTGTTGCATTAAGAGGATTATTGGCAGGGGCCTCCCCTGGTGGCACAGCGGTTGAGCGCTGGGCTGCGAAGCTGCCCGCAGCCTCTGCAGCGCCGGTTCTATCCCCGGCCGCCAGTGAGGGTCCCACATGGCATGACAGACCTCTCTTGTGTCGCCTGCTGCTCCCCTCAGCAGTGTATTTCGTTGGTCTGCCTGTTCTGTTCCCCGCTCTGGCTCTGGTGAATTCTCTCACCCTCCCGCATTTCTGACTGTACCCAGTGCTTGTATAAATAAATAAATAAAATCTTTTTTTTTTTTTTTTTTTCTTAAAAAAAAGAGGATTATTGGCAGTTGTGTAGGCAAGTGATGGTGGTGGCAAATAAGTGAGTTCAGAACTGATAAGATTTGCTGTTGGCTTGGATGTGAGAGCAAGGTGGTGAGAAAGAAAGGAGCTTAGAATGACTTCTAGGTGGATGTCAGTGGGAAAGGAAGAGGTTTGTGGAAAAGTCTAGAATTTTGCCTTTTTGCCTTGGCTATACTCAAGAGCAGATGGCAAGTAACAACCAAGTAGAGGAGTCTAGAGGTCAGAGGAGAGGATTGAGCCTGAGCTACTGTGAGATTGCCAAGTTCCTTTTAGAGGTATGTGCTCCTACATTTGGGATGTAAACAGGTGCTCCTTAGGTGACTGTTTAGCCATGTAGAATGACTTAGATGCAAACACTGAAAGTGGGTGGTTGCATACAAGCAGAGTGGGAGGTTACCATGTCTCCATTATGGAGGGAGAAGAGAGTTTGGCTGAGGATATTTATAAGGGAGTGATTTTAGTAATGGACTCTTCACCAGGACAGATGGATGCTGTCATCAAGTACACTTTCTGAAACTGTCTTGCTATGTTCCCCGTGTACTGGCTATAGGAAGGCTATGCAGCCATGTAATTCCAGAAATGAAAGTGTGTACACTGTGCAAATATAGGGTGCTTCAGTGCCAGGGGAGGTATGGAAGCTCAGCACATAGGCTGGCACTTAGAAATGCCCAGGATCTTGGAGTTCATAAGGAATAGTTTAACCTCCCAGTGTAAATATCGTCTTTAGCATCTTGAACAGACTGCCCAGACATGAACAACTTCCACTGATTACTTTGAAAAGCAGCATGTGTTGGTACTGTTACCTTTCCCCCTCCAGCAGCACCTCATTTCTGGAACTGAGGCTAGAGCTCACGTTTCCTGCGCGCTACTTCTTGCTCTTGAGGGTGTTTCCTGTTCCTGCAGCCCTTGCTGAGGTGCATGCAGTTGCTTAACAGGCAGGTATGACTGGGGGCTTTCTTGTCTTCAGTGAAGACTTATTTTCAGCCATCTACTCTAACTACTAAGAGCTTCTAAAAACTCTGGCATCCATATACTACAACATACTAGTTACCCATCCCAGTGTTGTTTTAGCTCTAATTTTGATAAGTCTTTCATCTTATCCAAAAGGATATCATGGGAGACTAATAAGATCCAGATGTTTGTGTCACCATCTAGTGACCCTAGTACAAAAGAAAATGCAGTTTGGATGTAATACTCGAGTGGCCCCAAGGACACCTGATGTTTCAGGTAACTCGTCAGATCACATGTTCAATGAGCCCTTTTTAAATTATATTAACAGTTACACTTTTCAAATGTCTTGAATGTCCATCTTTTGGAAATTGGAACTTTTGCCAAGTTCAAGGTGCTTGCATCTTTCTATTTGTTTCAAAGAGGCTGGTAGTGATTCCTCCAAGTTTCCCATTGTAATTTGCTTGAACGAAATCCCTTGAATTGATTCAGAGGGGCTGGCATCTCATTAACCAAAAGGTCAGACTCATATCCTAGGTTGATGGTGGCTCAGCTGCTCTTCCTACTCTAGGGATACTCATGTTAATCACCCGGAGACATTGACTTCTAGCATGGGAGGCTGTGCCCAGTCTTTGGGGTACTGTTGCTTGGTGGTTAAGGGCATGACTGAATTCAGACAAGCCTGAGTTGTGTCAGATTTCACCCTGCCACTAATTAGCAGTATGACTTGGCACCTTAGGAATCCTTGCCGTGTATCAGTTTCCTCGTCTGTAAAATGAGTGTCTCTGCTGAGGATTAATGAAGCCTTTAATGAGATGCCTGGCCCTTGGTAACCATCTCTTCCATATCACCATTATTATCCTCTTAGGAGTTATTGGGTGGAGTTAGTGAGCACACTGCGGAACCCAGAGACAAAGCAACCTACCTGGCTGCTAAGGCAGGGCAGAAGTGCTGGTTACAGACACCCTGGCTGAAGACCCTTCTGTTTTTTAGGAGAAGCTGGCAAGGCAGGCCTTGAAGGCAAAAGCAGAGGATTTTGACCTCTGGCCTAATGAGAACAAGAGCGCATTCCCTTCCTTTGTGTCCAGACAAGATCTAGCAGAGATCTTCCGCCCAAATGCAGTATAGAATAAAAGACACCTGGCTCCTTCCTGACTTGAGAGCGGCCTTCAAGGAGCATTACCCTGACAGAAGATAGGACAGGGTGTGGGTCTTCAGGAGGGAGTGGGGGCACCACTCTTAGGCAGGCAGGGCAAAGCAGGGTCCTGCTTCCTTGGTATAAGGCCACAAGGCCTTGCAGATTTCCTCCACCTGTCCCTCCTCCCAACCCTCAGGGCTATGATCTCTCTGACAGCGGATCTCCACTGCTTTTGGGAAGTGGAGAGGCAAGAGGCCAGGAGATTGTCCACTGGAGCTGAGATTTTTTTTTCTGCTGTCGTTCTGGGCTGGGCCTGCACTCAGCAGGAGCTGCCAGGAAAACAGGTGAGGACATTGAACTCCATGGGCCGAGCCTTTGCCCTCCTATAGAACAGGGACTTCACAAATGTTGGCTGGATGAGAACTGAGTGAATGTTGAGCGGCAGGGGCACAGAATTGCTTCTGAGACTGTGGGGGAAATAAGATGGGGTGTGGAGTGAGTAAAGAAGGGGTCCAGAGGATTAAAAAGATCACCTTCCCTGATTGCTTTTCGTTTTCTTAGGAATAAGGGCATGTTGGCAAGAGTCAGGCGAGGGCATTGGGGTCTCAGATTGAGAGGACCCTTTCCAGAAGCCTAGGTAACTGGTAAAATCAGGGGAGAGAGGGACGGTATCCTTGAGACCATGTTGGGGGCCCCAGCAAATAATGAGACTCTGGGCACTGCTTTTATTTTTCTCCCCCAGCTTTCCATGCATCCCAGGTGTAGGAGTGAGGCACAGAGGTCTCAGAATCCATGCGTGCCTGGTGCAGGGCCCAGTGCCATCCTCATCCCAGCCCCTCGCGGGGCAAGCAAAGGCAGGTGTGGCCACTCCTCCCTCAAAGCAGCCATGGCTGCAGTGGTGCAATCCGCCTTGCTTGGGAATCTGGTGGCAGCGCATTCAGCACCAAGCACCTGCCCATCTGTAGGCAATGCAGACTGTGGGGCCCTCCACCTGCTTAGGCTCCCTGATAGGAGTCTGGCTATGGGAGCTGAGCCACAGTAATCTCCATCAGTTGTGAGATGGCTCCTCCCAGGACCTGTGAGGACTGCAGGCGCTGCTGCTTTCTCACAATGTCCTGGGAGGCCGGTTTCCTGGAGCAGCTGAACCCCTGCCACAACCTGCTGGCCTGCCTGCCTCCAGACTCCTTAGTCACCCTGGGTTCTCTGCTCTACCTGGATGGAGCTTTCACGACTGCTCACTACCCTCGACCCCTGCAGCCTGTGGGGCCCATAGAACCTGGAATAACTTGACCCGATACACAACCAGCTGACTGAGCTGGTCAGTCAGGCGTGGGGGCCTCTTCTGCCTATGCTGCCTCTCTCTGGCTGGGGCCCAGTTGCAGCAAGTTGGGGGTGCAGCCTAGTCACCGTGCCAGGCCTGGAGTTCTGCTCTCTAGGGATGACATCAGCATGTGTTGTGCAGCCACCCCAGGCCAGTTCATTGTTGATTCAGGCAGACAAGAAGAGAATTTTGGAGCCTTTGGTATCTCTAACATGCCTTTAATGCTGAATCGGGACCAGACGCAGGTAGACCAGCAGGCAGGGAGTTAGCAACTGAGTCCCCTGTTCCCCCCGAATCTTCCCTTTATCCCTTGCTTCTTGGCCCACTTGTCTGTATGTACATAGGTGCACCCGTGCTCTGGCTTCTCAGCCCGAGTGTCTGTCATCAACAGGTGCACATGCCCTGTGCTCGCAGGCCCATCCACCTTTTGCAATCACACGATATCACGTGTAGGTCATTCAACCTGGGAGGAAAGCAAAGCCTCAGGTAGTGACCATGGAGGCTGGCAGTGGGAGGCAGAAAGCCTGAGTACCCCATGTTTCTTAACGGCATGCTAGAAGCTGAGGCCTTTGCAACCCTGCAGGCCTTGGCCTTCTCTTTCTTGTAGGCAACCAGTTGTGGCAACTTAAGTTCAAGGTGGTGGCAGGCATCTGGATGGTGGGCCTGCAGCTGCTCCTGGTCAATATAAACTGACCTGTGGTGGACATGCAGGAAGCTGGATCACTTGAGGCATTTGTGTGTGGCTGACCTGGGCACCCAGACATGCTGGACCAGAGGGGTTATTGGGGGTGCTGAGCGTATTGGAGGAGACCTGACTATCTGGCCAAGATGGCTACTGTGCTGGGCACCATGGGTACTCTGTTCACTAGCTGTGACTGGTCACGGCTGAGCATAAGCACAGGCAGGCCCCTGGGGGAGCTGGACAGCAGGCAGGTCCTCTGGGGGAGTCAGGGAAGGGAAGTCGAGGAGGAATAGAAGATGAAAATGAGGATGGGAAAAGGGATGTTGCTCAGAATTCTTTGGGGCTCAGTTGTCTGCCCAGGCGAGAATGGGGGTGAGGGGTGGACACATGGCAGTTTTCATCTAAACGAACCTAGGCACCCCCCTGTAGGGTGAATGGAGTTATCAGGCTTTTTTATGCTTCCACAGCTAGCGTGGATGCTGGGCTGACAGGCATGAGAGTGGGGCACCTGGGTCCAAAGAACACAGGCGTGTGCATGTGTAGTAGCGGCAGCAGTGGTGGCAGCACAGCAAGGAGGGCCACTCTGAGGCGAGACCACGAGACAATACCAGAGAGAAGCCAGAGAAATCTCCAGGATTCCTGGAGTCCTGGGGGGCTCAGTTACCTCCTGGGCCTCCCGGCTCTGCACCCTACCAGACCCCCTGCCCCTGACTTGGCCCTAGACAACCCCCAACCCATAGTCCCTTCCTCTGACTGAGCGTAATTCCAGCATCTTTCCGAGTCCTAGAATTTGGTTTTTGGCCCCTAATCCTCAGCACCCCTCCGGGGAGGAAGATAGTAAAAGAGAGGGATTGAAGCCCAGAGGGACTTGGGGTGGGATGAATACTGGGGGGACTTCCTTAATCCTAATATGTGTTCTCACACACATCCCTGGCCTCTGCCGTCAGGGACTTGATGGGAAGCTGGTCTCTAAAGTTACGAAGGGTTTGCGTGGGTTGGAGGCACTGTTTCTGTGGGGATATTCCAGGCAGGGTCCCAGGACTATTTTAAGGACACAGTCACAGTTCCTGCTCCTCACCTTGGCTCCTTTCTGAGGCCTGTGCATCTTGTCTCATATGACTCAAGGAAGGGTGAGGAGATTGGGAAAACAAAGCCAGTTGGAAAGTTGATTCTACCGTGTGCCCACATTATGGTAAAGAAAACACACCTTGTGGTTGTCTGTGTGTGGAAGTAGGAGCATAACCTTTAACTCCAGCTTTTTCTCATTCTCCTGGACATTGCCCCACACCTCAGCAAACACATACACAAATCTATCCCATCTTTTTGCTTTTGAGTGGATATATCCCTCTCTCACTCTGATATACTCAGACTTTATCCTAATGACTAAGAAATTAGATATGAAAGGGTGTTTTTGCCATTCAACTTTCACTGGCTGATATTTAATTCACATGATTGGAAGTGCTGTTTGGAGATCAGTCCCCTCTCCCTGCCCCAGGGAGCTGGGAGCTTCCTGAATTAAACAGCTTAGTGGGAGTACTTGTAGTCTTTATGTCAATATTGGCAGAAGAATTTTTGTTGCAAGGTGGTAGGGGTGTGTGCAGGAAGACAGGTGGGGGCAGCTTTGTGGTAGCAATCCCAGAGTGCCTAGAACTTTTGCCTTTATAATTACTGAGTACCTATATGAACCAGACATAGTGACACCACCTTTTTGTTCATTGTTCATGTTCAGTACATACTTCTTGAGTGCATCCTGTATACTAACTAGTTCCTGGGGATGTATTAATAAACAGAAACCAGACACTCTTTGCCCTCCTGGAGCTTACAATCTACTGGGGGAAAGAGTCATTAACAAAAAAAAAAAATCATAAATAATTGCCAACGTGCTAAGTGGTTCAGTGCAACGTGCTAAGTGGTTATGAGACCATAAAACAGGGCTGCTGAGAACTAGAGGGGGCCAGTTGGGAGGCCGCTGCAGTTAAACAGACGAGGAAAAAAAAAGAAAAAAAGGTTTGCTCCAGTGACGCCTTGGAGCTGGAGGAAGTGGGCTCATTGAATGCCCCATAGGTCCATATCAGATCTTGCTATTCTCGGGGCCAGAGGAAAGGCAGATCAAGACCAACATACTCTACAGGTGATTTAGGAGCACCCCTTTTCTAAACAGAAACAGGGATGATGGGGGAGGGGCAGTGTACTGAACTATGTGGTAGAAACAACACTGTCGCAGTTAAACCTCAACTCCGCGAGGCAAATGTAATCCCCACTTCACAGATGGGTCTTGGAAAGCGTAGGTCATGTGTCCAGATTCGCTTCAATACATCAAGTTACGGCCGGGGCTTCCGATATCCTGAACCCGATGTTCCCTAGTTCGCACTTTCTTAGCTACCAGGGGGGCTCCTTAGGGCTCCCTGGGGAGAGAGAAAAGCCGCATCCCCCGGCTAGGACGCTTCGGTCCAGAACTAGAAAGTGAGCGCGTTGTTTCCCGACGGAAGGGGGCGGGTGCCTCGCGCGCCCCGGAAGTTGCGTCTCTCCCCTCGTCGGCCTTTCTGACGGGAGTGAGGCCGCCGTGGACTGCCCTTCCTCAAGATGGCGTCGAGGATGGGTTCCCGAAGGTGGATGCTGCAGCTGCTCATGCAGTTGGGCTCGGTGTTGCTCACACGCTGCCCGTTCTGGGGCTGCTTCAGCCAGCTCATGCTGTATGCTGAGAGGGCCGAGGCGCGCCGGTGAGCGGGCCCACTCAAACGCCAAATAAGGGGGGGGGGCGGTACAGCCCATCCCAGGAACAGGGGTGCGGTGAGGTGGGGAAGAAGTTGGGGCCCTTGAACTGGGAGGAATTGGGATCTCGGACTAAATGGGAGGGGATATGGCCCGGATCAGGGTGGACAGCAAGCATAGTGCGGGGCTCCTGGCCACGAGTGGGGCTTGGATTTGCAGAAGCGGTGGAGCTTGCGGGAAGTCAGGGGTCTCGAGGCTTTCTACCTCTCTTCATTCTGCCCCGTTGCTTCCCCTCCCTGCTCCTAGGAAACCTGACATTCCAGTACCCTACCTGTACTTCGACATGGGGGCGGCCGTGCTGTGCGCTAGCTTCATGTCCTTTGGAGTGAAGCGGCGCTGGTTCGCGCTGGGCGCCGCGCTGCAGCTCGCCGTTAGCACCTATGCCGCCTACGTCGGGGGCTACGTCCACTACGGGGACTGGCTGAAGGTGAGCGCGTGACCCTAGGCGGGACTTCTAGGGTGATGGGGAGCCAGAGATCGGGTTCCCGTGACAGAGCTAGCTGAGGAAGAGGATCCCCCATGGTTTGTGGAGACTTAGCGATCAAGAATGAAGGCACCTTTTGACCACACTACTCTCCCTTTCAGAGTATGGAAAGTGAGGCCCAGAAATGGGAAACAGACTTCCCCAAGGCCACACCGTAGTTAGCATTGCTGATGGGACTAGGAGTCAGGACACCCAGTTCCCAGAACCCTTTAAATCATTAGTAATCCAGACTCTAGTACCTATTCTTTCATCAGATTTTAGGAAATTTCATTAATCTTAGTGCAGCATTTAAGGCTGTATATGCCAGAACCTCTGCCAGGCACTGCAGACTTGGGGACAAATCTGGACAAAGACATTTCCTTCAAGGACTGGACTGCCAGTTCAGTGTGGGAGCAGATTTGTGACTAGCTGCAGGACAGTAAGATCAATGTGGGAGGTTGGTGTGTGCAATAGACTCTACTATATAGAGGAAAGAACATTAGGGTTGGGTCTACAGACCTGGAAGAGGAAAGAGGGACAAGTTTTGTTTCCTGGGTTCTGCCACTTAGTTTCTGTAGGCGCTTGAACAATTTTATTAACACCTCTGGGCCCCAGTTTCCACTTCTGATAAAAAGAATTTGCTCTCTGCTGCACCAGCCCACTGCACTTGGAAATTACACAAGGCCCATCAGATAGAATGGGATGAGTAGAGATGGGCAGTTCTGTGCTCTGGGCAGCCAAGAGAAATGTGGCGGCTGATTCCTGACTCCAGTTCCTGACTGGGGTCCCCTCGCCTTGGCCTAGGTCCGTATGTACTCGCGCACAGTTGCCATCATCGGCGGCTTTCTTGTGCTGGCCAGCGGTGCTGGGGAGCTGTACCGTCGGAAACCCCGCAGCCGCTCCCTCCAGTCCACCGGCCAGGTGTTCCTGGGCATCTACCTCATCTGTGTGGTAGGTTGGGGGCCTGTTGGCTGGAGATGCTCTACTGGGAGGGAAATGTGAGCCCATGGTTGACAGAACCCAGGGAGGTGGGCAGAACAAGGCCTTGCATGTGGTTCCTGATGATCCGCCTCCTGGGAATTGCCCCGGCCACCTTGTGGGCCTCAGGGCCCTCCCAGTGCTGAAACTTGGCTGGGAGTCCCTTCTTCCAGCCTTATTGTCATTAGGGAGAGAAGAATTGCACTGATATCAGTCCCAAGCCTGAGTGCCAGGAGAACAGAATGGGTGGTCCTCTCGTGGCTCCAGCCCCAAGAGGCTGGGAAAGGAGACAAAGGAGAGGTTAATGGGTTTCAGGCCCTAGCTTGGCCTCTACCATTTGGAGCTGATGGAGGCTTCCAGTGTTAGCTAGTGAGCATCCTCCCTGGTGCCAGGGAAGGCCACTGTGTGGGGATGTGGACCAGCCCGGAGCCACTTGGTCCCATCTCAGTTACTGGGCATCATGTCGGTGTGTGGAGTTCTGTACTCAGAGGTGAGCACCCAGGCTGACTGTGGAGATACACCTCCCCGCTTCTGAGCCCCTAGGTGAGGAGAGACAGATCCAAACATGAACCTCCCAAGTCTAAAGGGAAGACACAGGCCCTACTTTCAGATAGCCCCAAGTCTGAGAGGGGCATCAGAAGCCCACTCAGGAGCACTTATGAGTGCTTTCTCGGGGTGGCCGTCCCCAGACAGGCTCCTCAGCCTGTTGGGAGAGTCTTAGAGATTGGTGTGTCTCTAGGCCTACTCACTGCAGCACAGCAAGGAGGACCGGCTGGCGTATCTGAACCACCTCCCGGGAGGGGAGCTGATGATCCAGCTGTTCTTTGTGCTGTACGGCGTCCTGGCCCTGGCCTTCCTGTCAGGCTACTACGTGACCCTGGCTGCCCAGATCCTGGCTGTACTGCTGCCCCCGGTCATGCTGCTCATTGATGGCAATGTTGCCTACTGGCACAACACACGGCGCGTTGAGTTCTGGAACCAGATGAAGCTGCTTGGAGAAAGTGTGGGCATCTTCGGGGCTGCCGTCATCCTGGCCACCGATGGCTGAGTTGCATCTGGCGAGAGGCTGAAATGGGTGCAGGGAGCCACTGAGGGCCCCCCTGCCTTCCTCCTCACTGGCCCAGTTGCTGTTTATTTATGCTTTTTGGTCTGTTTGTTTGATCCTTCGCTTTCTGTGTGTCTTGGTAAGGGGCAGGTCTCTTCCCCAGTTCCTGGGCTCAGCCCTTGAGGTGAGGGTGCTGATAATGATGCCTTACAGGTTTTTTCCCCGTTTGTTAGGAGGGAAGCTGAAACCAGGTACTCCAGGGTCTCCTGTCTCTGAGAAGAGGGTAAGGCAGGGCTAAGGTGAGCACACTGAGAGTGGGAGAGAAAGGAAGCTCGAGAACCAGAAGTAAGCCAATGTGGAAAATTCCTTTGGGGACCAGGCAGAGGCAGCCAGGCCCTGCAGTGCTTTATAGACCGGGAGTGAGGATGTGTATTGACTCACGTATCAGGCCCTGGGGGAGAAGGGCCAGGCACTCCGCAAGTCATGCGAGTTCTCAGGCTCTGCTAGGGGCAGAAACAGCACTAGCTCTCACCCACCTTGAAAGCAGAGCAGCCCCCAGTCGACTCTACTGTGTACAGGGGTGGGGGAGACAGTGGCCGGCTTCCCCCCTCCTGCTGTCTCCATTTCCAGCTCCAGGCCTGGTGGGGGTGAGAGCCCTCCCAAACACCAGACCACACAGTCCTCCAAAAATAAACATTTTATATAGACATTTGGCTTCGCTTCTGTGTTCTTCCCATGGGCGCTTTGCCATTGGGCCTGGGTTTTGAACGACCATATCTGGTTAAGCTCATCTTAGTCCTCTGGTTACCTTTCCCCTGCTCTGAGGGCCCCCACAGTCCTTTGGCTCTCTCTCCAAGAATCTGAGCCTCTCCGAAGTATATTTTTTTGATCTCTCATTCAGTCCCCCCGGTTGTTGCTTGTCTTTTCCTCCCCGTTTGGTGTCAGCTCTTTTTGAATGAGCCTTTGGTGAGAACAACCACAGGAAGAGAATATTAAGTGTCCATTATTAGGCTGAGACTTGAGGCTCAGAGGAGGTAGCAGTTTGCCTTAAGCCACCGAGCTGGGTTCTGTGTTAAGTACACTGAGAGGTGTACTTGACCCCACCCCTTTTCTGAGGGGGAAGCAGAGGCTGCTCTTGGGCATTGGTACTGCCACAGCCCCCTGTGGTCCGTGGTCTTCTCCTTATCCATGCGCCTCCTGACAGAAAGTAGCCACAGCAGCCAGTTAGTGCCTGGTACATCTTAGTTCAAAAATGTTCAAATCTAGACTCTGAGCCCTGCCTGCAAAGGGAGCTGGGATGGCTGTGGGTGTGGCCTGTGGAATGCAGAATGTTTCTTAACTTGTGGGTAGGGGGCCCCTCCTGATGACTTTTGACACCAGGTGAGGGAGATGATCTCATTCAGCACCTCTCCTCCCTTCAGGGGCCCGGCTGACATTCAGTCCCAAGCCTGAGTGCCAGGAGAACAGAATGGGTGGCCCTTTCGTGGCTCCAGCCCCAAGAGGTTGGGAAAGGTGCCCCCCCAGCCCTCATCATCTTGCTCCCAGAGGATCACTGGTAATTTCAAGTGTGAGCTGACTCAGACAAGCATCTGTGTTTTAATCAAGGCCTGCTGAAAAGTGGCAAGGCCAAAAGAATTAAAATGAGTGGTAAGATATCAGGCAGATGGCAAGGGAACCTCAAAACACATCACAGAGGCCACAGAAACTGGCTCACCCTTAAGGTTAACCCTGAGTAGAGCCCTCATAGGCGAGTCTTCCCCCGCCTCCAAATCCCCAGAACAGATATCGGAGGCCATTAATTGTGGCTTTGGAGCAAGTGGGAGTCTTGGGTGCGTCCTTCCTGTGTTTCTCCACATGAGTGCCTGCCCCTGGCAGAGTTTAGGGGCTGCTTTCTCCCTGTAGATCGCTCGGCCAACACGCCTGTGACTGCCGGGGTCACCTCCAGCAGGCCTGGCTTTTGGTCCACCCTGGCTGTTCCAGGGCCAGCAGGGCTGGTGGTGAGGGTCAGCTGCCTGGGTCAGAAGCTGGCTTGCAGAAGGAGTCTGGCAGCCCTTTGGCATGACTGACCAGCTCATAGGAGTCCCGGATGTCGCTTAAACCAAACCAGAAGAAGATCCACTGCTTGTTGGAGAAGCTGCCATCGCTGTGCTTGAAGTACCTGGGGTGGGGGTGGGGGACACTGGTATTAGGCAAAGCCAGTGCTGCTATTCACTGGCCCATTTGCTGAAGACCCCTACATGCTAGACACTCTGTTGTCTGCTAGTTGATTCTATCCGCAGCAGCAGTCTAGAGCCTGGTGTTATGCTCTTTTTTTTTTTTTTTTTTTTTTTTGTGGGACCCTCGCCTGGTGGCTGGGGATCGAACTGGCGCTGCAGAGGCTGCCCACAGCCTCACAACCCAGCGCTCAACTGCTGCACCACCAGGGGAGGCCCCTGGTGTTATGCTCTTTACAGAAAAGCAGCTAAGGTTCAGAGAAATTAGGTAACTTGCCGGTCACACAGCTCTGAAAGTTAGAGTGAGGACATTCTTTGCTTCCTCCACAGTCTTGGCTGTGCAGCCTGGGCCCGAGTCCCCACTCACCTCTTGGTGCCTGAAGAGCAGGGTAATTGGGGGCGAGGGAGTGGTAGTGGAAGGAAAGGGGTGCTCTGTGGAAATGCAGTGGGTGGAGGATCAGAGCTTGGCAATAGGCCTGGAATAGAGCCTGAAGGGTCAGGATTCAGGATCCTGGGAGAGAAAGGCTGCTGGGGGAGGGGGAAGCTCCCTTGGAAGTGCGAAAGCAGGGCAGAGCTAGTTCAGGTTAACCCTGCACTCCGCCTGGGGGGAGATCTCAGGCTCCGGCTGTGCCCTACTCTCGGGAATGTCGGACCACACTGGAGGGGACATTGCCTGGGAAAGGAGGGAAAACGAAAGGAGGGGAAGCCTGAGCCTCCAGGCTGGTGGACTCCAGGGCTGGCCGGTGAGGACTAGAGAGGAGGAGGGGGGACCTACCAGGGATTGATGGGGTTGGTGACCCTTGAGCGCCAGAAAAGCGTCTGCAGGTCCCGCCTCAGGCACTCCCACAGCATCTGGCCGGAGCCTTGGCCCTGGCGACTGGAGCTCACCACAAACTTGTCCAGGTACGGGGTGCCCCCCAGTACAGGTTCCATGGTCAGAATGGCGGCTGCGTTGTACCTGGCGCAGCGGGGGAGAGGCAGGCTGGGAACTCTCCTTGTCGGAACTTGCCCGACTCTACCCCTGAGGTCTCTGCCCTCTGGGACCCACAGGCTCACCCCTCAGAGACGTAGACGGAGTGCAGCCGCGGGCGCAGCGAGGCCAGGTAGTCGTCGCGGAGCTTCTTGCCGAAGCTGGTGTTGATCAGGTTCACCAGGCGGTGCAGGTCCAGGCTGTCGAGGCTGCGCACTCGCAGCGTCCGCTCCGCATTCTTGAACAGGGTCCCCGACCCTGCGGGTAGGATGGAGCAGGGGTGAGCTTAGCCGGAAGCCGGGTCCCATTCATTTCTTCGTTTGAGAGGCTCGGTGGGGGTGCCTGACGGGGCAATTACTCGGTGCCCCGGTGGGACAATCACCCTCTTTGGGACATCTCCACAATAAGATGGCGTCTGGGGTCTGGTAGATTTGTGTGTGATTGTCACTGTAGGAGGTGCTTTTCCCAGACAGTTTGCCCCTCAAGTCCCGGCGATCGCCGGTATTTCCACCTGCTTCCCCTAGTCCCGCCATCTCCTCGAAATCTGCTTCCCCGCCCCTGGTTCCGCCCCCGCGTCCGCTCCCGCCACCCCGTAGCCGCGCGCGCCCCACGAGACCCCGCCCACTCCCAGACCACGCCCACTCCAAGCCCCGCCCACCGCCGGTGCCTCCCGGCTCCAGCCCAGTCCCGTCCGCCTTCTCTTCAGTCGCCCCCAGGTTTCCATGTCCCCCAGGTTTCCGCAAGGGCAGGAAGCCTTTGCTGGGCATCCGTCCCCCGACGGCTTCCCGACCGGCGGGGAAGCCGCTCGTGCTGCTCCCCCCCCCCCCGGGACCCGCCGGCGCCCTCCGGCCTCACCCTTGTTGCTGAAGAGCTCGGTGAGCAGCGTGCCCGCGGCGGTGATGACCGCGGAGGCGTGGCGGGGCAGGCGGCTGAGCACGTCCACGATCAGCCGCATCTGCTGCCGTTCTTTGCTGCTCACCCACTCAGCGCTGGTCACCAGGTCCAGGTCGCCCGGCAGGTTTACCTTGCTCAGGACCTGCGCCCGGGGAAGGGGTGCGTCCGGGATGGGCCCCTGTCCTCCGGGGCCTCTGCTGACCACCTTACCCTGCCCTCCTCCTTCGGGAGTTCTCTCCAGGCCGGGCTCGGATCCAGGCACCTCCCGCGGAGCCCCTCCTGCCACTCCACTCTCCACCCACCCGGCTGGAGACTGGGGTGCAGGGGCTTAGCCAGGCCCGGGCTGGGGGGCGGGGGGGGGTGAGAACGGGGCCGCACCGTCTGACTGCCGTCGCGCAGGCCGCCCGTGGTGTTGAGGAAGATGATTTTGGTGGGCTGCAGCGCCTTGGCCAGCGATGCGGTCACCTCCAGCGGGTCCAGGAGCACGGAGCGGCGCGCCGCCGTCTCCCCGATGGGGCACAGGATGGGGATGCTGCCCGACTCCAGGCACCACTGCAGCAGGTCTGTCTCTACCGAAACGACGCCGCCATAGCTGTGGGCCAGACGTGGTGCTCGAGGGCGCCCCCTCCAGGCTCGTGGGGCTGAGCCGGAGGGGTCTTGGAGCGCCATCTCGGCATGTTGGGATAGGCAAGGCCGGCACTAACCTGGCATGGGGGGCCGGCTCGGCGGCGCCCAGCACTGACCCACCGCCAAAAAAAGGCACCGCAGTGGCGGCATTATGTCGCAACGCGTCCACCAGCACTTTGCAGCTCTGGGCAAGCTGTGTCTTGGCCTCCCAGAAAGGAAGACAGCCCGAGGGCGATGTGGCAGCAGGCAGCCCCAGGACCACCAGCGGCTTCATGTCCATCCGCTGCAGGAAGGCCAGCGCGAAGGCCAGGCTGGACACGGCCTGCTGGCACTTGAGCACCTCCTCGTCCACCTGAGAAGGGGCGCAAGTTCAGGAGTCTCGACGTTGGCGCCGACTTCTGCTGCGCGGCTCTCTCCTACCGCCTGAGTCAGGGCCCTCTCCCGCCCCTCCCTGCCAGCAACTGTCGGGTCCTTTTTCTGGTTGGCCCTTTGCCCCGCTGGGTCTTGCCATCCCCTTATCTCACACCCACCCTTTGCTCCTCCCTGCGACCTTGGACTCTGGGACACTTGGTGGGGGGGCAGGGCAGACGTACCGCTGCTCCTGTCCAGTTTCCCCACTTGCCATCTAACCCCCCAGCAGCTCCCAAGGTAGAAAATGGCCTTCTCCAGAGCATCACACTTGATGGGAGGGAGTCCCGGGACTCCTCACCCAGCTGGGCAAGAGCCTTGGAAGTGCGCGCAGCTTGCGCCGGCGCCCCCCGTCCCCGGCCTTCCTCCGGGCGCCCCTTCCCGGTTCGCGGTGCGGAGTCCAGTCCACAGCGGGCCCCACCAGGCCGGGCGACAGGGCGCCGCACCACTCCCATCCCCTCATCGAGATCACGGCTGGCACGAGGCTCCGCTCACCTCGATGACAGCGAAGGGCTTGTTGGAGGAGTGGTGGCAGGTTTGGAACTGCGAGAGCCACTGGCGCGCCTCTCCGGGGCTCGCCCCGCACTGGTTCAGGAAGGCCTGGATGTCCCGCTGCACCAGCGACCGGCCGGCCGGAGGTCCGGGGGATTCCGAGCGCGCCGGGGGCGCGGGGGCCGGCGTCCACGACTGCTCCTCGGCGGCTGGAGAGTGGGTGTCGTGCTCCGCGCCCTCCGTCTCCTCTCGCGCGGGCTGAGCCGGCGCCCAGGCGGTGCTGAGCCGGCGCCCGGGGCTAGTGCCACTCGCCGCCCGCCGCCGCGCGCTGCAGCTCAGCTCCCGGGAGTCCCCAGCGCCCCGGGGGCCGCGCAGCCTTCTACCCGCAGCAGCGGCCCTCAGGGCTCTGGCCAGCCACGCTGTCGCCATGACAACCACATCGGCTCCCCCCCCCCCCCAACGAGTGACCGTCTGCCCCCAGCTACCGGCTCTGGGGGGCTCTTAACGGGCCGCGGGGCGGGGCTGGGCCAGGGGCGGGGGCAGAGTCGCCCTTGGGTGCGCTTGAGGAGGGTCAGGCTGTGGGTCAGGGGGCGGGGCCGGCAGGATCCCCCGCCCCTGGTGGGGGCGGAATCCACCCGCTAGGGTCACGAGGCTGCGATAAAGGCTGGCGGTGTCTTTAGTCTGCTGCCAAGACCGGTTCCAGGAAACACTCAGAGGACCCAGGGATGGCTTTGGGGGTCTGCGGGGTATTTGATGAATAAAGGGGACTCTGACTAGGGCATCGGGGTTGAATTACTTCCAGAGGAGACAGGAAGGAGAGGTGGGGCGGGGGGATGGAGCAGTGCCCGGGGGCTAGTGGGGGGTTGCCTCCTTCTGTGCTGTGGCCGGAGTCCAAGAGGACTGGAATCAGGTTACCAGGGCTCGCTCACCTCTAGTCTGTGGGTACTGCCTTGGAGAATGTGGTCATTCCCTCAAATCACCCCTTCTTAGTATTAACTTTTTCTTTAAACTTTTTAAGCTTAAAAGATTGGGACTGTAACCAAGAGACCAGTAGCACTGGCCATAAAGGGAAGAAAGTCTTGAGAACAAAGGAAAACGAACAGTGTTATTAACCTAGCACCCTGGGATGCTAAAGCACTTCATAAATAGTAACTCACTCAAGTCTTCAAAATGACTTCGGGGACGGGCATTATTATTATCCCCATTTTACAGACGAGGACATTGAGGCACAGAAATATGTGAGGGCCAAGGACATTAACAGTGGAGCTAGTCTTTGAGGCAAAGCCTCTGCTCTAGAGCCATGCTCTTAAGAAAATTTAAACAGAACTTGAAACCCTTCACAGAATGTATTGTTACTTCACACCGTATCCACTGGCCCTCTAAAAACACCTCCATGCTGTTAGTTGTGTATCCCCCACACCTGGGTACATGCTGATCAAGCCCCACACTAGGGTGTCACCGAGGAGGAAACCTGCTGTACAGGGACAGAGACTTGGCCACACAGCTCTTTAGTGTCATGAACAGACCTGAGGCTCTCCAAGTTCCCACCCCCTGTTCTTTGCTCCCTTCTGGGCAGTACTGTCTCTCAGTGCAGGAAGCCAGGACTCTTGGGGTCTGTCTGAATGGGGAACCTGGGCTACTTCTCTCCTGAGCTTCCCAGAGGACTCTGGGTGCATGCCCAACCCCTGCCTTGCCCCCCCCCGCCCCCATTCATACACACACATCTGAGTGTGTGCACAGTTCCAAGCAGGAGACATGTGGGGTCGGGGGAGCTGATCTTGAAGGCCTCCTCCATGTTCCTACTTAGAAATCCTGGGTTCCCACAGGGCGTGAAGCATGGAGGCCTGGTGGGCTGTACCTCCTGCCTTGCAAGGCCACCTGCAGGGCCATCTTTCCTCTCCCTTTTTACTCTGCTCCCCTCTCCCACACCCCCAGGACCCAGAGGGGGGGGTCCTAGCCCCTGGGTTGGTAGCTCCTGGATAACTGTTTTTCTCCCCAAGGCCCTCCCTGCCTTCAAAGGCCCCACTCTCAAGTGTGCCCCCTCCCTGGGCACCATCAGACCTTCTCATCAGAATGCAGCCCTCCCTGGCCCCTCTCCCACCTTTGCTGCTCTGGAGCTCTGCCCTCCTCCCCTTCCAGGTCCTTCCTCCACAGCTGCAGCCAAATGGGGGCCCCTGTGAGGGCAAGGGTGGCCTCTTGCACTAGACCTCTCAGGGCAGGAGCTGGGCCTTTCTAGTCTCAGACTGGGGCTCCCCGAGGGCAGGGCTGATGTCTCTCTCCTCATACAGGGGCTCTCTGAGGACCCACCTGTTTTAGTAGCAAATAGCATCAGCCCCATTTTCCCTGGGTGGACACTGACTGGGAAGCTGCCTCCCACTCCTTTGGGCTTCAGCCGAGAGGGCCGTGGCTCCAGACAGCCAATAGGGCCCCGGGATATCCCAGGAGATGATTAACTCCTGGCCCAGTGACCGTGGGGCCACTGTGTCCCCATCACCTCTCTCTAGGGGAAGGCCAGGCTCTTCTTTCTGGAGGAGGAGAGTGTGAGTGCAGGGGGTCAACACCCCCACCAGACCCCGGCCCTCTGAGGCCAGCAGGATCATTGCTGCCTGTGGTTCCAGTCTAATTTTCTCCCTGCCTCTGAAACTGGTTATTTTTGTTTGTTTTGTTTTTCAGAGCAATTCCATTGTCACTGTGTCCAGAGCCAGGGTCCTGGCTGCGCAACAGGCTTTGGGGCCTGGAGATCCTGGGACGGACACGACCTTCTGACCCTCCCAACATCTTCCCTTAGCAGGGTTCTCAGTCCTGAGCACAGACACTGCCAGGGCTTTCCCTCCCGGTAGATCCCTTGGTACTTGCCACTCAGTGTAGGTGGGCACAGAGGGGACTGGAACCTGGTGTGGGGACAGGCTTGACAGCTGGCAGTGCTTTCACTACACCTGAAGGACACTTGCAGGCACAGAGTCTTCAGATGTGAAGACCCGCAACCCTCCACCAAGATGCCCACAGACACACATGTGAAGACACTAGTGCAGAGAGACACAGGGAGACTCACTGGCTTTGTGCCTGCAGAATTATAGAGGCTCTACCAGTGACTGTCACCACAGGAGCCCCCACCCAGTTGACATCACTGGCCACTAAGACAGGGAGACGCGTGTGTGTGCAGAACTGTGTACACACACACCATGCATTAGAAGCAGTACCCCTCCCCCACAACAGACTAGCAAAGGGCCAGGTATGTAGGTGTGCGTCACACTATTCACAGGCTCAGAAGTGCACAGACAGCAAACACTGATGCAATCATAGAATGCACTAAGACACACCCGGAGGAGCATGGACCTCTCCCGAGGGTGCCTTCTGCCCTTTTCTACAGACACACAGGCACGCGCAGGTCTATCACGAAGGGCTGTCCTCTTGCTTTGTCACGCTTGTGGGACAAAAACTGGTTAAATCTGAATGTTTGTGTCCCCTCAAAGTTCACATGTTGAAATCCTAATCCCCAAGGTGACAGTGTTAGGAGGTGAGACTTCTGAGGGGTGATTAGGTCCCTAGGGCTCCACCCTCCCGATTGGGATTAGTGTTCTACTAAGAGACCCCACTGAGCTCCCTGGCCCCTCCTGCCGGGTGAGGACATGTGGAGGAGCCTTCGACCTGGGAAGGAGGCCCCGATGTGGCGCCCGAGCATGCTGGCGCCCGACCTTCGACTTCCAGTGTCCAGAGCTGGAAGAAACAAATGTCTGTTGTTTGCAAGACACCCAGGCTGTGTGTTTTGTTAGCGCAAACCCAGACACCCACCCTCATGGACTCCATGCCTGCGTCACGAAGCCTGAGTGTGTGTGTTGGGGCGGGGGGAGGTGCTGGAGGCAGCAGTGCTCTCTGACGCCAGCTCTCTTTCCAGTTGCCCACACACCCTTCACCCTACGGGAGAAGCCGCTCATTCTCTCCCTCCTTAGCCCCCAGGCACCTCCTTCCTGTCACAACTTCCTGCTTCCCTGAGAACATGGAAGCCTCCAGCAAGGACTTCCGCAGCCTGCCCGGCGTCCGCACCCAGGTCTCTGCTCTTCACCCGTCCCTGCGGATGAACCGCCCGGCTCCCGGGACGGCCCCGCCTGCCTGCCTAGCCGCGCTCCTCCCGGGGCTCCCGGTGAGTGGGCGACTCCAGCCAGCACGCACACGCAGCCAGGTCTCCGCCGCGACCAAGCCGCACGACCCCGTTGCACGACTCATTCTATCGTGCTCGTGGGTGCTGGCAGGCGTTCAGGACGCGCTTCCCGGGGCACTTCGCTTTGGTCTCTCCTGTGGCGGGAGTCGGGCGCTGGGCCGGCAGGGGCGGGGGCTGGGCGCGTCTCTCCGGGAGTCTCACCACCCGCCGTGGGGCCTCTTTGTGCTTCCTCCCAAAATGGCGGCCTCAGACCTGGGGCCTGAATGGTCGCGGGAGGCCTCTGGCATCAACAGGGTGGAAGCAGCGTCCTCTCTTAAAGTCCTGCCTCGCAGCCTCGTACAATCACTGTCTCCACATTCTGTTCGTGCTAAGTGAGCCTAAAGCCACCCCTGAGGGGAGGGGCCGTGAGCCTCCCGGCTTGGTGGGCAGTATCCAGGTGGGCGCGCCGCATGAGCGGTATTATTGGACTGTATCGTCACAATGGAAAATACAATTTAATAAAATTATTATAGTCTATCCGTTAGCCCCTGGCCCCCACTGGAATATAGCAGGATCCAGGAGGACCCTCTCGCTCCCCCAGAAAACGGCAGAGATCTTTGTTTTGCTCATTTATCTTTTCTGAGCTTCTAGAATAGTGTCTGGCATGTGAAAGGTGTTCAGAAAATATTTATTGCATTAATGAGTGAGGAGAGGACCAAGGGAAAGCAGTGGAGTGTGTGTGGGGAGTCTGGTTCCTCCGTGTGTGGGGTCTGGGAAGTGTGTTCCAGGGGCCCGAGAGTGGCCCAGGCAACTGCCAGGTGGAGTCTCCACCCGCGGCGAGGCCGACCTGAATGAAGGCTGCGGAGTGTGCACAGGCCTTCTTCCTGACCCACTAACGGATTTCTAGCACATACTATGCGGTACAGCTGACCTTGAACAAGTTGGGGGTTAGAGGTGCTGACTCCAGAGCAGCTACGTCCTTGTGTAACTTTAGACTCTCCCCAAACTTTCCAGTCATCCTTGGTATCCCGAGAAAGTGGGGGTGGGATTGATTTTAGGACCCTCTGAAGATGCCAGAGTTGGCTCAAGTCGCTTACCACTGGCCTTCGGTATCCACGGGTTCTGCATCCACGTTCTGCTTCCTTGGGTTCAACCAACGACGAAATTGGTTGAATCCGTGAAGACCGAAACCCAAGTATCAATTGTATTGCTATTTATTGAAAAATAAGTGGACTCACAAGTTCACACCCGTGTTGCTCAATGCCACCTGTATCTGGGATGCAGCTCCATTTTCCCGGCTGGAAGTCAGGAGGCCTGGCTGGGCCACTTCCTCAGCTGCCAAATGTGGGCAGAGCCTTTCATTTCTCTGAGTTGTTGCCCTTGAAAAACAGGGAGAAGAGA